ACAGTGCTGCAGTAAATATTCTTATGAAGAATTAAGGAGCATTTTTCTCTGCCATACCTCCTAGAAGGTGCATTGCTGGGGTTAGCATCATCCTGTTACTATGTTACTCTTAATAGGAATTGCAATGGGATATTTTCCTATGAGCACCCTATGTGAGTCTCTCTTTCCTGATTTTTTTTTTTTTTTTTTCTTTTTAAAGACAAGGTCTCACTGTGTAGTACAGGCTGGCCTTGAACTCACTATGTAGCCCAAGCTGGCCTCAAACAGTAGTCCTTTTAGTAGTCCTCAGCCTCCTAAGTGCTACAATTACAGGTACACATTGCCACGCCCAGCTTTTTTGATCTTCTTGCCAGCATTTATATTCAGAGTTTTACATTTTGCCAGCCTTTCATTCCTCTTCTATCCAGATTTGGGATTAAACTCAGGGCCTTATATGTGCTACATGTGTTCTACCACTGAGCTACATTTCCAACCCTTTTGCTGCTTGTTTGGTAAAACAGGGTCTCACTGTGTATTCTGGGCTTGAACTATGTAGCCTAAAGCTGGCTTGAAACTCCCAGTAGTCCTCCTGCCTTTCAGTTCCCAAGTGCTGAAATACAGATACACACAACCACACATGTCCCTTAGCTAGTTTTGATGATATAAAATGCTACCTCATTATTTTAATTTGTAATTCCCTAATTACCAGTGAGATTGTCTTTTATACACCTGTTGGTTTTCAGGTTTCCTTTCCTATGAATTCTCTGCTCTTATCTCTGCCTATTATTCTGTTAGAATTGTAGAACCCAGGGCCTCAAGCATGCAAAGCAAGCCTTCTACTACTGAGCTACATCCTTTGCACTGTTTTAAGGGTTTTAAATTGTGTTACAATACGAATATAATTTTGACTTATACTACTTTGAATTTGTGCCTCTTGAATCTAAAGACTTATGCCCCTAATTTAACTGGAAAAACTCTTAGCCATTATCTTTTTTGTCTATTTGTTTTGGAGGAATTTTTTCTTTTTTCTTTTTGGCGGAGTATCGGGAACCAAACTCAGGACCTCATACTTTCCAGCAGTCACTGCACCACAAAGCTAAACCCCTTGACCTTGGAGGAATTAAAAAATTTTTATTCTGTTTTACTTATTGGTACTGGGGGTGGAACCTAGGAGCTCTCCATCACTGAGCTACATCCCCGTCTAGTTTTATATATTTTACTTTGAGAATTGCTGAGTTGCTTAGGCAGGATTTGAGTTTGCAATCCTTTTGCCTCAGCTTCCCTCAGTGCTGGGATTATAGGTTTATGCCACTACACCTCACTAGGAATATATGTTTGAGTGTCAGACTAGAAATGTTTTAAATTGTGAAATATCACACATTCAAAAAATAGCTATATCTGTAGTTTAAATTATATTTATAATTTGATAATTATATAAGATAGAACAAACATCTTGAGTGTGCTGCCATCTGCTTATGCAAAAGAACATTACCAGGGGTACAAGTCACTCATCTCATACTGGAGTTTGTGGGGATTCAGTAAAAGAATTTGGTAAAACTGCCTGGCTTAAGGCACTTAATAACTGTTTCTTTGAGCAGAGACATGATCAGAGATAGGACAGAATGGATTCCAACATTGGTAAATTTCGGGTAACATTTGTTGAGCACTTCTGGTGTTGGTGTAGTAAGTATTTTGTCTCGTTTAGTTCTTTTTTTTTTTTTTTTAAATTTTTTATTTATGTGTGTGTGTGTGTGTGTGTGTGTGTGTGGCCAGCTCAGCCCACCAGGGGGCGGGCTGGCTGGCATGTGGTGCTGGGGGATTGAACCGCGGTCCCTCTGATTTGCTTAGCTTGTTCTAAGTAGGTGCTTTAGACCACTGAGCCATCTCACCAGCCCCTCATTTAGTTCTTACATCATTTCTTTGTCGGTTTTCTGAGAGACAGGTCTCACCTTGAAGTCCAAGGTAGCTTTGAACTTACTATGTAGCCTAGGCAGGCCTTAAACTTGGGATCCTCCTGTTAAGCTCCATAAATACTGATTATAGTATTATAGTGATGAGCCTCCCTACATCAATGCTTTTTTAAAAAATGTATTTAGTACAGGGTCTGCAGGGTCTCAATACACAGATTGGACTTGCAGTTTTCAGCCTCTGAAGCACTGGGACTACAGGCATGCACCACCATGCCCAGTCTCAGTCGCAGTCTCAGAGTGCCCCAGGGGAGGGGTTGGCATGGCACGCGGGGATCAAACCCTCATCCCTGTGTCTGTCTAAGCAGGCACTTTAATCCACTGAGCTATTTGGCCAGCCCTTTACATCAATTCTTTTTTTTTCTTTTTTAATTTTATTTATTTGTGGTGTGTGTGTGTGTATGTGTGTGTGTGTGGCCAGCTCAGCCCACCAGGGGGCGGTGCTGGTTGGCATGTGGTGCTGGGGGATTGAACCGCGGTCCCCGTGCTTTGCCAAGCTTGTTCTAAGTAGGTGCTTTAGACCACTGAGCCATCTCACCAGCCCCAATTCTTAAAGAATGGGCTGTTAATATTCTAGTATTATAGATTTGGAAATGAACTTGTGGGCTCTGGTAATTTTGCCACGAACCTTTCTCAGACAGAAAATGCCAAAGCCACAGTGTGGTTTTCATCTCTTTGTACTTTGCTCCTGCCTGTTAATGACCCAAATAGTTATTTTTTATAATTTTCAGATTCTATGTGATATGGTGTTCATTGGTATTTTCTTATAAACCCCTTTGCCTCCCAGTGCTGGGGATGAAACTGAGGACCTGTGAGCATGCTAAGCAAATGCTGTACCACCAAGCTACATCCCCAACCCCTGGGTTTAATGAATTTTGAAGGGCAAGGCTAAAGATGTGAAGAAGCCTAGGCATTATTTGGTCTGTGATAGGGCTGTCTTTAAGAATTTGCCCTTCTCTGCAGAGCATTTCCTAAGACTTGTGATTCTTCCACAGGCCTCGCTGAATGTTGTTGTGTGTTTCCCTACCCCTGAGCCTGTCCAAATGGACCATGTCTCATGCCACACTGTAAATAGCTATTTAAATGTCTGTCCTGTTCACATCTCTGCCTCTAGTCTTCGGCATTGTTTCTGACCCATAAAAGTTCATAAAAATATATATTCATTATTTCTTAATGATGGAATAATATAAACATTATGTAAGAACTTGTAATAAGGGAGTTTTTATTGAGTATTATATTCTAGATACTATAAGGTTTTTTTTTACCTGTTTCACACAATTATAATATCCAGGCTGATTTACCTAAACACATTCTCATTTAATCTCAGCATAATCCTGGGAGTTAATACCTATTTTGTAGATGGTGAGCTGGAGTTTAAAGAGATAAATTGGTTTGTCAATCAATTTATCAGTGCAGGGCTGGCCTGGTAGCTCAGTGGACTAAAGCACCTGCTTAGGCAGAGCATAGCTGTGCTGGCCCTGCCTGTGGGACATGCTGAGATAGCATGGTGGTACATGCCTGTAATCCCAGCACTTGGGAGGCTGAAAACAGGAGAATCACTACGAGTTTGATTTACGTAGTGAGACCCTGTCGACCCTGCTAAATACAGGAAAAAAAAAAAAAAAAAAAAAGATTAACCAGTGCTTTAAGTCCTAGAGCCTTGATTTGAACCTACACCTGTGTGACTTCAGAGTGTAAGGTTGAGGCATTTTAGCACATTACTTCTCTGGGTATTTCCACTGTCAAGTCAAATTGGAGAAATCAGTTTCCTGATCTTTAAATATTGCTAAGAATCCTGACCCCATGTTGAGACAACTTCCATAGCAAGAAAGCAGCAATAGCAACTGGGTTCATTTACATAGTGCAGTGATTCTGTTTGCGCACCTGCTTTTAGAGCATGTGCAGTCTTGGCATGTATTGACATTTAACCTTGTTTTTTTTTTTTTTTTAAATATATTTCTGTATTTTAGGGAAGGGTCTACAGGGTGTTCAGGGTCTCACTACTAGATTGGACTCGTAGTGATCCGCCTGTTTATAGCCTCCCAAGAGCTGGGATTACAGGCACATGTCACCACGCCCAGTCTTTAACCCTGCTTGTAGAAAAACATTTTTGTATATTGTACACCTGTTGCTATAGCAGTTGTCCTGGGTGACACAAAATCGGTGTGAGCCAGGTGTGGTGGTGCACACCTGTGATCCCACCACTCAGGAGGCAGAGGCAGGAGGATCACTGCCAGTTCGAGGCCCTGGGCTTCATAGTGAGTTCAAGGCCAGAATTACAGTGAAACTCTTGTCTCAGAAAACCATTAAAAAAACCCCAAAAACCTGGTTGGCATATTAGGGTTGAAATATGAAACATGAGGAAATTGTGGTGACTGTGCCCAGCGTCAGACTTCACCCTTAATGAGATGTGAACTGAATAATGGGTAGGGTTGAAACTGGTAAACTGTCTGGTGACATTGCTGTTGATTGAAGACTGGAGAGACTGAGACGTTGCAGATGTATGTTCTGTCCCCATAATCAGTAGCTAAAGCTTTTTAAAATTTTCACATTTTGAATAATATGAAAGGGTTTTTTTTGGGGGGGGGGTAATGAAGACTGAGCCCTGAGCCTTCATATTGAGCTATATTCCCAGTTCTCTTCTTTAATTTTTTGAGGCAAGGTCTAACTAAATTGCTGAATTGCCAAGATTGGTCTTGAGTTTGTAATCCTATTTCCTCAGCCTTCCAGAGAGCTGGGACTATAGGTGTGCACCACCATGCTGCACTTTTTTCCTCCTCAATAGAATCATATCCATGATTTTCAATTTGCCTGTTGTAGAGTTTTATTTTGGTAAAAAGGACTTACGGATTCTGTTATGTTTATTAATGTAAGTTTGGATCTTTGGAATTTAATGGCATGTTCTTGGTGAGAGCTATTTCTAGAAATGAAAGTTTACAATTCTTACTAGCCGATGTTGACATATAAATGGCATCTTGCATAGATAGTTGAGAGTTTTAGGGGGAGATAGTAAAGGAGAAATAGGCTAATAGGTTTGTTTGTTTCTTCTTTCAGACGGGCAGAATTGACAAATCCTATCCTACAGTATGTGGCCACACAGGACCAGTGCTGGATATAGACTGGTGCCCACACAATGATCAGGTCATTGCCAGTGGTTCAGAGGACTGCACGGTTATGGTAAGCCCCAGGGAACTCATATACACAGGCCAGTGAACTTGCCTGCAGCCCCTCCCCCACTGCAAGTTGCCTTGTTGGATTATAGAAGGATTTAGCTACATTGAAGCTGAATTATTGATAACCTTTTACAGCCCCTTTATTAACAGGTTGTACTATATAGTCTGCTCTTCTTTTGTGTGACTGTATATGTGTATATGCTTATTGAGAGTTTACCTCTGTTCTGTGTGAAGATTTGAGAGATTAAAATGACTTTGGAATAATTTTGTGAATGCTGTTAGACTACATGCCCTCTTACACCCCAAAAATGATAAAAACTGCTGTCATAAACTTCCTGTTACAGTGCAGTAAGGTGCAACATTTATGCAGATAAAACAAGCCATGTAATAGGCATTGAGACAATAAAAGTTTTAGCAAGTGCTTATCTCCAGGCTAATGTCAGAATGTTTTCTGTCTAGTGGACAGTGTTTATGAAACTTTTTTATGAAGATAAACAATTGCATTTAGATTTTGGGAATGCAGTATATATGAAGACAGTCTTGGGAATTTGTTTTTTTATGTCAGTGTCTTGCTGTTACCTAGGTTACTCCTGGGCTCAAACATCCTACCTCAGCCTCTTGAGTAGCTAGTGTGCCCAGCTTAAGAGCGCTGTTTATGTAACACTTGTTCTTGTCAGTGGTCTTAACCTTAAAATAGTGATTATCAGTTTGGATTATTTTGTAATACTTGCCAGAATTAGGTTGTAAAGGTTACACAAAAACATTATTTCATTTGGGGCTCCTACTCTCCTTTGCTTTGTAAATTCAAAAGTGGGGGGTAGAGAAGAGGGATAGTTAAAATGTTTACAAACTTTAATCTCCCTCGGAACTTTTGCCAGTGTGAAGGAAAATAAAAAAGAACTTAAATAAAAAAAAAAAAACAAACATTATTTCAGGAAAGCACTGCTGCCCCAGAGGTTATTAAAGACCATCCCTAATTTTGAAAAAAATTGAAGTATTTATTTATTTAGTTGCTACAGGGTCTCACTATGCAGCTCAGACTCATAGTGTTCCTCCAATCTCAGCCTCTCCAGCTCTGGGATTATAGGCGTGTGCTACCACATTGGTTTAGGTGGCCGGCTCAGTGTGGGGCCAGCACGGCATGCAGTACCTGGTATCAAGCCAAGGTTCTTGTGCTTGCTAGGCAGGCACTTAGAAAGTTGAGCTATCTGTCCAGCCCAACCACCCCTAATTTTATAAGTATTCTCACACATGACAAGTACAACACTCTGAGAGGATTTTTTGGTGGTACTGGAGATTAAACCTAGCACATTTGCACTGAGCCACACTCCCCTTTTTATTTGGAGACAGTGTCTCCCTTGTTGCCTAGGCTAACTTGCTAGCCTGCCTCAGCCTCACAGAGTACTGGGATTATATGGGTGCATCACCATATGTAGTGAGCCACATTAGTTTTATATTCTTTTTTTAAAAAAAAAATCTATGAAAAAAAAAGAGGATATCAAGTCTGCATCTTATACAGCAATTAACCCCTAGGAAGAATGTATGCAGTGTGTTAATTACTGAAACTGTCCTACTGATTTGATTTGAAACTGTCTCATTGCTATTTGTTTATCAATAAAATTATGGGAAAAAAAGAAAAAAAATCTATGCACCAATGCTTTATTTGGAATGCTTTAGTCATTAAAATATCTTACACAAATTCCTATGTTATTTAAACATCTACCTACTTTTATATATGGGCTTTTGGCTGAGGATGGCCTTTATGATCTCATAATTTTGGCATCCAAATCATATTAAATATGCTGCTGCTAAAAGGACTTGTTTTGTTTAATATGCCTTGCTACACTGATCATTGTAATGACCACAGACACATTTTGCTAAGGGAAAGGAACATCATTTAGACCTGATGATCATTTAGGCCAGAATCTTAAACTCACAGTCTTAGCTGCTTTGGTTTTGTTGTTTTGGTTTTCTGAGATAGGATCTCTGTAGTTGGCATTGAATCACTTTGTAACCCACATTGGCCTTGAGCTCACAGATTCTCTTGCCTCAGCCTTGGAAGTGCTGGGGTTAGAGGTGTGTGCCAGCACATCCAGCTTCTTAGCTGTTTTTGAAAAGGTTTAAAAAGTAGATGAAAAAAGCTCTTGTTCTGTCCCTGACTACTCAAAAGCCAACAGCCACAAAAATGGCAGTGATGCATACCTGTAATCCCTATGCTGAAGGAGGGTGAGACAGAATTACATGTTTGAATCCTGCCTCACCAACTTAGCAAAACCCTATCTTAAAATAAAAAATTAAGAAGGGTTGAGGATATAGCTCAGTTGTAGAGCACTCCCTACTCTGTTCAATCCCTAGTACTGCAGGAGACAAAACACCAGTTTTCACACTGCATAACACTGAGAAAAGCATACCAAAGGGGGCTGGAGAGATGGCTCAGTGGTCTAAAGCACCTACTTGGAACAAGCTTGGCAAAGCACAGGGACCGCAGTTCGATCCCCCAGCACCACATGCCAGCCAGCCGCGCCTCCTGGCCAGCCAGCCGCGCCCCCTGGTGGGCTGAGCTGAATAAAAATGTTAAAAAAAAAAAAGCATACCAAAGACTTAAGTGGCTCAGGTGTTAAAATGAATCATATAAGGGCAGGCTTAGGCAAGCGCAAGGATCAGGGTTCTATCCCTGGCACCACATGCAGCGCCTACCCCGCCCTGAGCCTGCTGAGCTGGAGACCCAGTCCAGGCGTAGTGTTGCACGCCTGTAATCAGCACTAGGAAGGCTAAAAACAGGAGGGCCACTACGAGTCCGAGCTGCAGAGTGAGACCTTGTATCAAACACATTAAAAAAAAAAAAATTAAAATGAGTCATGTGATCCAAGTGAAAACCCTTTAACACCCCACATGTCAAGAGCTTGAACTTCCCCAGCCTGTGCAGTCAGGTGCTCGCTCTCTGCCTCATCACCATCACAGCCCCCTTCCTCTCAAAAGGAGCTGTTGTCCTAGCAGCTATGACACTCCCTGCCTTTCCTCTCTATGGTATTCATCAGGGGTGCATCTCCAAACACTATTAATTTAGTCTTACCAATTTAAAACCTCTGATATGTCCTCTTTAAGTTTCCCTAAGTTCCTTTTCCATCCTTTTCTTTTTTTACAATGTTCTGGATCTTGGCCTGTTTTGTCAGCTGTCTGTACCCCTTGATGTGTCCACTGTGCTGTCTGCCTGAGTTTCCTGCAAACTGACAGTGGAACCCAAGGTGTGGTGAGATTCAGCTTCCATCTCTTGGACAAGACTGTTGCTAATATTAGGCTCTTCCATCAGGTGTTTGTTTTCTGTGCAGATACTGGTGCTTAATGTCCAGATCTGGTAATTCATTAGGAGTGAAAAATGATATTAAATTATCGATAGATTAATTGGTACTGAGAATTAAACCCAGTGCCTTCACGCTGAGCTAAATGCCACTTTTTCTTTTTTTTTTTTTTAAACAGGGTCTTGCTAAGTCATTAGTTGCTCAGGCTGGACTTTGTAATTCCTGCTTCAGCCTCTAGAGTGCTGGGATTACAAACACTTGCTTAAAGTCTTTAATTTTGTTTTTAATTTTTTATCTGGCATTATTTTATAAGATGATATTCACTTTTGCTTACTATTAAAAAGGATAAATACTTGATTCCTTCCTTTTACTTACCCAGTTCTTAAGATAATAAAATGTCCTCAGAAAGTGACCAGTTAGTCTCATCTTTCATTTTGATCTTCTGACGTTGAACATGATTGATAGGTAAGTTTTAACCCATTACATTTCTCAAAGCACAGATTGCCAGTGAGAGCCTCATAAAGATTCCTTCGTCCTTTTGAAATGAACCTGTAGTCTGTGTTGTCTGATACATGAGGGTGTTTCAGGCTTGCCCTGGGGTCTTTGAAAAATAGTATTTCTAGATCATAGTCTGGGTGATAAGTGTCAACTTCATTGTGTGTGTGTTTGGAGAAAGGTTCTCATTATGTAGTCCAGGCTAGTGTAAAATTTAGAACTTACTGCAGTCCTCCTACCTCAGCCTCCTGGGTGCTAGGGTCATGATACACCACCACATCTGGCTGTGGTGTATATTTTTAATGATCAAGTAAAGGGGTTAGAGAAAGTAGATGAAGAGGGGTTAGAGAAAGTAGATGAAGTGTGACTGAAAAATATGGTGAACATTTTAAATTAGAGAATTTGTTAGGTCACCTTTCTTTTTTTCATTTTGGGTTTTTTTGAGATAGAGTTTCACTGTGTAGTTCAGGCTGACCTTGAGCTCACTGTGTAGCCTAGGATGCTCCAACTTGCAGTGATCCTCCTGCTTCAGCCTCCTGAGTGCTGGAATTACAGGCAGGCATCACCATGCTTGGCTGGAATTCATTATGGTAAATTACACATTACCATGAATCCCTCAGAATACAACCCTTCCTTTGGACCCATGTATCCTTATATTCTTGACACTTTCTGAAGCAGTTTTAGAAGTCTTTAAATCACTTGTAGATTACTTATCCTTAATACCAGATTCTATACTGAATTGTTTAGGGAATAATGACAAGATTTTTAAAAATGTGCATTTGTGCATGCCTGTAACACCAGCACTCAGGAGGCTGATGCAGGAGGAGTGCCTGGGCTACAAAAGGCCAGGTTGAACTACTAAGTGAGACCCTGTCTCATAAAAAAGAAAAAAGAAAAGAAACTTTGTTCAGCACACATGCAAATTTTTCCCTTAAATTTTAATCAGTTGTTGATTGAGGCATTAGAGCTGGAACCTGAGTATAGAGGGCCAGCTAGGTACTGTTTGATTTTTCTTTTGACAAGTGTTACTGTTAAAGCCAAATAGTAATCTAATTTTCTTTCCCTTCTAATTATATATAATGCTGTACACTCTGACAGTTTTTGTTATTTTTAAAACGTAGTTGATTTTATCAGAATGTTATTGGCCTTTTTGACTTGATACTCCTCGGTATATGATGTGCTCTTTCAATAAATAGACACAAATTTGGGA